CCTACCTGGGCATGAAGTCTTTGAAGATGGCCCATTCACTTCTGATGCCTCCTTTCCTGTTTGACCACAGAACTTTTGGAGGGTCTGTGGAGAGACCACTTTCCTCTGAGCTTTCAGAACCACCATCACGTGCTTTTTACCCTTTCAGGTATTGGTAGGAGAGCAGCAATATTATTTTCTCCTTGCTTCAAAGCATCAGTGCACAGAGTGCCCCAGACTTTATGGAGCGCTCCACAAAGATGGAACAGACCTTCCTGTTCCTGCTTTGCATTTCAGCACCTCCTATCCTACATGCGTCGGGTGTCTTACAATGTTATCCCCAGCAGGTATGGAGCTCCAAACCTGTGCTCTGCTCCATGTGGCCTCCCCACCCTGTACCTTGCTCCAGGAGAGGTGGTCCTGGACGTTGTCAATGGAGAGGGCGATCATCTTGACGTTGCGCTTGCTGAACTCGGGCGCCAGCTTCGCCGCCCGGCCCAGCTCGGTGGTGCAGACGGGCGTGAAGTCCCGTGGGTGGGAGAAGAGGATGCCCCATCTGGAAGCAGAGAGCAGGAGGTGGTGTTACAGCCAGATGTCGTTCCGGTTTGTAGTCCAAGGCCAGAAGCTGTACAGATGGCACTGCACAAGAGACCGGTGTGGGAACACCTCGTCGCTCTGCTTAGTGGAGATCCTGCCCTTTCACTAGAAGCCTTCACTAGATGAGTCCTGTTCATCATGCTCTGAGAAACTCCCTGCACCTCACTCCCTGTCTCCCTCCAGATCTCCCAGGGGATGCTCAAATAGCCCAAGGTTCCTGACGTGGAGGTGGACAACATGCCACACAACAAAGACCACAGGTGTGAGGGGATGTGGATGCCAGCCTCGTTAGTGCAGAGATGGTGACCGATTCACAAGGCTGCTCACTACCCTGTGCACCTCTCTGCGAGGAGATGCACCCCTGTGTATCATACAGCTTAGAAGAAGGGGATAGGACCAAAGCTTAACCCAACCATTGCTGTGAGCTACTGAGTGTACCTCATGAAAAACTAAGAACTAACTAACGAGGGAGGCAAGAAGTCAGTCTTACCCTCTGGCTACAGGCACAACAATGCCACCTCACTTCTGCTCACCAATTCCCACCAGTGGATTGGGCCATCTTTAGAGCAGGCAAATAAAAAGTCACCCCACTTCACAGCCAAGGCAACTGGTGCACAAAGGCAGCTGTGCTGCTCAGCAGTGAGATGGGCTTGAGGCAAAACAGCTCCCGGCTCTCACGAGTTTCCAGACTAAAGCAAACCCACTCTTAGCACTAAAAAAATTCCCTGGCCAGGCTTTGTAGCACCACTTCTCAGCTCAGCATCGACAGGGCTCACCACTCCCCTACCCCCCAGGGCCCCCAGCACTCGGTAAGTGCAGCCACATGCCACAGCAGCTGGGGAAAGTCCTGACTTGGAGATTTGGGAATGGAGCTGGAGGGATGAAGAGAACACCCCAGAGCTGTGGGACTGCCCCGGCTGGCTCTGAAGGTACAGAGTAGCCACGGGTGCTGCAGGTCTCTTCATAGCATAAGTACACCCCGGGAATGAAAAGGCCAAGGAGAAGCTGGCTGGGAAGGCTGCCCCGTGAGTGCTCCGGCTGGAACAGCGAGTTTTAAGGAGCCCTGCAGCTTGTGTTCTAACCCGGCTCCCTTCTCCCCGTCTGCCGACACACCCGGCTCCTCCATCCCACCCGCTCCGACCCAGGCAGGGCTCGCTCAGGGGGATGGATGTGGCACAGGGGTGGTTCTCCGGGACTGGCCGTGCCCTTCTCTCCGTGCTCCCAGCGCCTCTTCCCGCTCCCCAGGGCAGACCGGCCCGCCGGGAGCCCGGGCGGCGC